CAATCAGAGTATCTGATTGCAGGGAATAATTGTATCGAGTCGTTTAATACACGAATAGAAGATGGTCGCTTGATATGATTCGGAAATGATGTTCGTTATCGACTAATGAGGTTCTTGCTAATCTTGCTCTGCCTTGCATTTCCCCAAGTATCAGCTGATCATGGCGTGGCACTTAGAGGTGTAATCGACGATTACTAATCGATGCTCTCTGCCACTACGTCAAGAAGCAAGGCGGGGCCCAGATGAACTGTATAGTGAGAATAGTGCCTTCGTTCACTTACCTACCTTGTGCTTGTCGCAATGATGCTTTTCCATAGCTGAGTAACTTTTGTGAGTATTGGAACTTATTATGACGGCCGACCCGTTGGAAGGCACCCCTCACTCGATGGGTGATCCAAACACGTCTATGGGGCCGGGTGAGAGCATACCAACAATGAGCGCTCAGGCCACTGCTGATTCACCTCCGAGTAGGCTGATTATGAACTGCGGGGCGTGGTTTTTATCGAGGTTGTGTGTCGCAGATCTGGGTAACTTTAAAGGCGTTATGCTCTGCAACCGTCCGATAGACGCTGAAGCCGATCGTCGAGGCGCGGGACAGACTGAGGGGCTACTTCCGTTTAGGGCTGGTGCTTCGACGGCCCATTGTGACCAAGTGGGTTGCCGTTATTAAACTACTGCCTGGCATCCTATCATCGGCAACCTTTGGTTCAGTTGGGTCTCGCTCCTCCACATTTCGCGGCTCTGGCAGAAGACTGGTCCAAGCGTCTCGCGGCCCCTACAGCTGTGAGTTCGGTCTCTCGATTGCTGATTCATGAACGCGCATCGAGGCCTTCTCAGGTCTTGCGAAAGCATGCCCGATGGCTGAAGACTTTTGCTAAGAGAGTAGCGACTAAACGAGCTCAGCGGGTAGAGGTTACTTTCAGCTGGTAGTGATGGAAATGGTGTTGTCGTATAGGAGGAAGCTGTGAGAAATGATGAGGAAAAGTTGAAGAGAATAAGTGAATTCGCAGCGAAGCAACGGGCAGCTATTCGCAAGGTGCGCAGAGGTCGATAGGGTCTTTAGCAATGACTAGAGCAATTGGCTGAATGCTCATTTTGGTATCATAGGGGTTATAGCATGAGAAACTGCCGCTAAATCTACAGCGTTCGTTTGTATTTTGCGGCATTGATGTGAAGCGATGACAGATGAGGTGTTCTTGCTTGGTACCCTAGCAGGTGTGGATGAGGCTCATGTATCTCTTTATCCTGGCGATCTTGGCACTGCTCGTATTGGTAGAGAGTCACTGATGGTCAGGTAACGGAAATTAGAGGAGAATTGAAGGCGAATGATGATGATGATGTTATGAAGACAAGGCCGGCTGGCAAAGGCGTCGAGGATGGTAGTAGAGAAGGGGAATGCATAGAGCAAGCGGTGAACGGAAAGGGGAAGACGTCGGACAAGAGACAGCTGAAGAGCAGGCCCTTGTGGTCTCTGACAGAAGCACAAGCTCGGAAGGCTGCTGAGGTGAAATGCCTGGTTAAGACTAAGGGACGGGGTGGGGTATTCTTAGGTTGATGAGGAAGAGCTATTGGCATTTGCCGAGACGGTTAAATTCGACGAGTATATCAATGACCTTGAGTTCCGTACTGCTCTTGCAGTGATGAAGGTAAGGACTAGGCCTTGTTGTGGAAGGTATCGGGTGGCGAATATTGCAGGATCGAGCTGGAAGGCTGCATAGAGAGCAAGAGAGCTTCCGTGAGGCACTGCAGGAGGCTTATGATAGGGAAATTGAGGAACAAGAGGCTCGAGTGGTTGATGTAGATGATGGTGGGTGGAATCATGGCTTAAAGGTCTTTCTACACGGAAACGCTACAGTAGTCGATTCTTGATCTCAGGGTGTGACAACGCCAGTGATGACGGGGTTGGGTCGATAAGCGGTGTGGGGTTCGAGGACTCGGCCAGCCAGAAGGGTAGACGCGATTCAGCATCGACCAGCGGTGTGTCAGCCTCGACGACAACGAGGTTAGATGCGAAGGCTGGTCGTTGTTATTGAGTTCGCCACATCAGGGACCGGTCAAGACTGATTAACGGGGATGGTCGACCTGGATGGGACTCGAAGCCGTTACCAGTAGATGACGAGACGCAGAGTATTGTGAGTGAGGCGCTCAAGGGGAATCAGCAGGTAGTGGCTTGACGGTGTTGTCGCTGGAAGGGTGGTAGTTGATCAGATACGAAGCATTCACAATGGGAGGTCCGTCCGTGGTGTATTGGAGACTCTATCGTCACAGTCCAATGGTCCCGAGGTTCCTTATTCGGTGAGCCTCATAAGTAGGCATAGAGGTTAGTCATGGATCAGGTTGACCTGCCGGCTCTGAATCCTGTGGTGGTGGTTAGTGAAGACACCAACATACGAAAAGAAGTGGGCAGAAAGGAGTTTCGGCTGTAGCATAGTAGAGGTTCTCTCTCAGTTCCATCCGAGTAGTATGCCCTATCTTCACCGTAGCCCATCTATATAGAGTTGTTGTCATAGTGTCAAGTTGATACATGAACCGGCCATGGTCGGAGTTGTTGTTGTATGATGAAGTTGTTGAGTTTCTGGGCGGGCCAAATGTAGTTTTTTGACCTTTCAAGCCGAGTATTTTACGTTTCTTTGATCCTGTCCCCATCACCATGTTACTCATCTCGAACTACTCTCGATGGCGAGTGAGATGGTGAGTGCTCGTCGTTAACTGGGCGGAAGCTTTCGAGTGTAACAGTCACTACTTCACATTGGGAATATCTCGGCAGAGAGTAACTTGCCATCGGGCCACAGCCAGTATTCTGGCATTAAGTGGTAACTGTCCTCGTGTGGGTTGAGTTCTGGTCTCGGTAGTGGCCCTCAGATTATGTTGACTTTGGGGAAGGGAATTTCATTTTGAATGTAATCATTACTCTTGTATAGTACAGTGAGGTTAATAGCTCTACCTGGCTCACAAATGTTTCGTGGGGAGCTCCTGCTCTGGGCAACAGTGTTGGATGTTGCTACTGTGTGTCACACATTTTCGCTAATTATATTTTCACGTAGTCTCAGAGACCAGCCTTACTTTCACGAGGCAAATAGTAGTGAGTATAGGAGTATGGCTGTGAATTCAAGAGCTCCGAAATGAGCAGCCCAACCCTGCTATTTATATGAGAACAAATTTACATGTATAGTATCACACTTACTATTTTTACTTAGCTGGTAGTCAAGTCGATGGTCAGAGACAGAGACAGGAACGGGTCTGTAGCCATCTTGGCTCAAGTTGTACCCTTGTATTGATCAAGTCCAATGGAAAGTCCCGTAACGGCATCGGGCGAGGCTTCCATCTGTTGTAAAGGTGCTCAGCCTTTCGAACTAGGCATGTCCTGAAGTTCCTTCTTGTTTCCTTCATGATTTGTTCGGACGCCGCGACACCTCTGCCCGATAACGGCTTCCTCGGCTACGTTACCTCACTGCCGTTATATACGGAAGCATCTGGCTATCCGTGGGTTCAGACTGTTATATTCTACCTCCGCCAAAGAACGCTGGAGATCACGTCCTTAGCTCTGCTGCTGGCCGTGGCCTGTCTGGGGATCGTCCTCCTTCATAGTGTACGGAAGGTAGTCCCTTCCGAGCCCCCTGAGGAGCCCTGGGATTCGCGGCCAACACTGGCGTTGGGTGGCACGGGTCTCCGTATTGGGTATGCATTTGGGTGCATAGCGGCGTTGCAGGATTATGCCGATTTGAGGTGACAAAGTATTTCTCTGTCGGTGACTCATGTAATAATTTCTGCTTTCAGTGACGTCCGTGTCACCACTGTGTCCGGGTCGATATTCGCGGGATTCATAGCTGCAGCGCCGCAACTAAATATGGGGAAAATGATGAAGGCTCGTAAGATTTCGTGAGAGGCTTCGGTTGATTATGGCCTTCTCACCGTTCTTCAGTTTTGAATGTCCGTGACCACATGATGAGCTCTGGGCTCAAGGGCTGTTACCTCCTGGATGTCGATGAAACTGTCGATATGATATTAGAGGAGCTCACCAGAACTGGCGGTCTTACTCACGACATAGTAGGCATTGGTGGTTGAGTGATGAACGTGTTAGTGATTATGGTCGCCTGTGGTGTGTTTTCTTTAGTTGAAAAGCATAGCAAGCAACGATCAGCTGCATATTGGTTTGACGAGTTTTTGTCCCTTGCCTTCTACACGATGTATCCACTGTCCAGACAATTTCGAGGATCTCCATCGTGTCATGGCTGCTGCTATCTGCATACCACCATTCTTCAACCGTTTTGCTCGATACGAGGTGAGCACGTCATGGAAGGTCTCGGTACTCGTTCATTGATTAGTGATTAGAGTGATTCTATTTCAGCAACTGAAATTCAGCTGATTCCTCTGGGCGATCGATCTGAGCTTAATAGCGATCGATCAGCTCTTGTTAGTTCATAAGAAGCGCCCGTATGTACTTAGTCGTGTTGTGTGGGATTTCTCTATCTTGTTCGATGTGTTATGAGAGCAACGAATTTTTCGAATGATAACTCAGGCATATGTAGTGCCGTTTCGGACTGCTTGAGAGGCAGGGTGTGTTTGAGGATGCTCATGGTATTCTGTTAGGGTCACCTAGCAGCTGATGGTGCTTTCTCATCCTGGTTCGCCGTACCTGACGGCTGCCATCCCGGGAAGATTGTCAAGTTATCGCCTTTCTTCATTCCGTGGGCACGCTTTAGATCGATGTTCCTCTCAACGCCGCACGATGTATATGAGTGCGTTCACCCCTTCGGCTTGGATCGTCAACTGGAGTCCTTCCGCGAGGGGTAAGCCGGACAGGAAACAGTGTTCGATAGAACCTCCACAGGTACGAGCGCACCCGGAGACAATTGGCCGACCCGAGCCAGTGGCAAGGCGCCCTTACAATCAAAGACCATCCTATTGATGGTCTTGAAAGACGTACAGCATGTATAAGACGCGTTTGTCAGAGTTCCTGAGTGCATCAGTTCCTGATTGATTATTTAGTTGATTTGTGGAACTCACATGTTCAGTATAGATGCTGCTTGTCCCACATCCAACGAGGAATTTACCACCAACCTCCTCCTCCTCCTCGTTTGGTGACAATGTTTGCATTGGATAATCCAATGTGAATGTTGCTGCACATTGTGTACTTTCATCATTCCCTTTGAGTCCCAACAGGAGGCTCATTTTGCTTTTGTTTCGCGAGTATAACTGACTCTTTACCTCTGAAAACTAATCTATGGCTTGTGTTCGTAACCCATCTCTGTCAGTTCCTGGGGGAACATACGCGAACCCGAGTGACATTGAGAGGGATGAAGTTCTGGTTCTTGTGGTGCGAGGTCGGAGTCGTAGGATAGCTCCTATACTATCAACGATTTGGCTTACTGTCAATGCTCCAATACTTCGTGCTCTCAAAACGCTAAAACTGAATGAACCTAACTCGACTAATCTATCACTGGGTGCGCCTATCGTCGTGGCCTTTCTTCCACTCTTCTGGAAGAATCAATGTGAAGATTCACTCACCGATTCGGCTGTTGTTTTCTCTTTGATTGGCCAGGATTCGACTTCCCTTAGAGCAGGGCGGCAACTGACGGTCGCCACACTCGACTCTACTCGTTCCACGATAGCCATAATATGGCCCAAATCGTACATATCTGCTCGTTTCTTTGGTAACTCCCTGACATTCAGCTAACACTGCAGGAGCTACCTAGGCGTCTCTTCGAGGATTTCACGCCTCTGCAGCTAGACTGGCGAGTATCCATCCTCTCTCGAGGGTAGCAAGCATGGTTGTTACGTGTATTCAACTGTTCAATGTGATAGATACGAGACTGAGTTAATTCACTGCCAAAGCTTTCACGCGTATCCTGGTGTTCGCGCTCAATCTGTGACAGACAGGATCGCTTGGGAGAACAAACCTTATGTTTCAACAAGTTGGATAAGAGACTAGACCATTGCGTCGATGTTGACCATTGATTGCGATCATCTTCGAGCTGTGTCATATCGAAGAAAGTTGGCAACGACAAGCCCGTCAGAAACCACACGTTGGCGAAGATTCCCTCTGCTGATGTTGGTTAAATGACCATTCAACATTTATCTTTTGTTCATGCTCGGCCATGCTTTCATGGTCATCTTTGCTTACCGCTTTGAATTGAGGTCTTCGAGCTAGTAGATGTTGCGTTAGACAATACACCATGCTAGCCTGTGCCAGTAGCTGAGCGCATTGGACACATCTGAGAATATGTGGCTGGTCACTCTCTATTGGGTCCCTCCTGAAAACAGTGAATCCTGAAAAGGGTGAAGGGCGAGTGGATCCGTTGTAGGGACTTTTTCTCCCACTAAAGCGGGTGAAAGCCTGAAAATAGTGAACAACAAACTCGCCCGCACCGGTATCCTAAATATCAGTAATTTTTCTACCACTCCTTCCCGAACCGATTCAACTTTCAATGATCACTCTCTCTCCGGTTGAGTAATGTTTGAGTAGGCAGCTTGCTCACAGCAACCGCAGCGCTACGGACCACTGAGGACCGGGGTGCACATTATCCAGATTGTCATCTTTATCACGCCTAGTTCTTCGTTGCGCGTCTTGAAGCGACTTTTCAAAAGTAGGAGCAACTTGATTTGGCATAATTCTTTCCGGATTTGAACAACCCTGGGAGCAACATGAACGGTCTAGTAATAGCTTTCGAGCCCCCCTGTGCCATGGTTGTGGACAGGAAGTAGTACTTCCGAAGTACTGAATGGTGCTCTTTATTCAGCTTCGGGATCCGGAAATCCGTGTCGTCTCCAGTCCACTTT